TTAACATTTTAATCCACTACAACCGTTTGGTTGGGTGGTCTTTATGAAATGCACCGACTGAGTCGTTTTGATCATTTTGCATCTGAATTTTATTTTTTGCAAATTTTAATTTTTCATCTTTGCCTAACTTATCAAAAGCATGCGGCGATTTTTCATTTTTGCCTAACTAATCAATAGTCCGGCTGTCCTTGCCCCTGGACGGCTGTGTGATTGGTTTCAAGTGGAGTTGGTTGATTGACTTGAAAACGTCTGATGCTGCAAAGAGCATGATATGTTTATAAGTCAATCAATCACAGTAGTGATTGCCCCAAACCAAATGCACAGCCGTACACCAACAGGCGTTCCAGTCACTACCCAGACGGCGTTTGTCCGTCCTGGTAGAGATTTCATAGCCATTGAACAACTCTTTTGCCCCAATTGGGGTGGGAAGTGCAATTTTGGCATAAATAACCTGTGAGAATTTCAGCCGGTGACCGACTGATGCCTCTGGGCATTCGGTATCTGGAAACTATCGTTCTTCATAGGTCATTTCGGTCGGACGGTTATGAGCTGACCAATTTGGTCGTTCAATTTTTGCCGTCTGCATGGGTACGTAGAACCGAAAAATAATCTGTTCTCTACGACGATTGCACCCGGAGGGGTGTTGCCGGACGCCTTTGTCCATGTTGGGACACGCGATTTTATAAAATGAGCAACCATCCGGCCATTTTAGCCTCTGGTCTTGTTTGAGACCGGTTGTATAGCCACTAAACATTTTTGTGCTTAGTTTTTAGTCGAAGTATTGAATTTACACTAAGTATCGAACTTAGTTGTTTAAATAAACGAGTCTGTTTTGGTATTACCCAGACGGACAGGCAATTATTAATCTTACCAAGTATCAAACTTAGTTAGGTAAATGAAAAATCCATCTAAGTATTACCCAGGCGGATAATCAAACTTAGTTAAATAAACGAAGTATCAAACTTAAATAAACAAGAGATCCGAGTATTACCCAGGAGGTCAAACAAATGTAACCTTTACTAAGTATCAAATTAGTCAGGTAAATGAAGAATCCGTCTGGGTATTACCCGGATGGATAATCAAACAACTTACATTCTCAGAAGTAGTACTTTTTCAGATTATCTACATTCCAAGTTCTAGGCAAGCGCCTGCCATCTGGAGTTTCCAGGCGGTAGGTGCCATCCCTTACTTCTTCATAGATACGGTAGGGGCCTTCCCAATTTGGAGTTAGCTTCCCCAGCTCATTGGCCCTACCGGTTGCCTCCATTTTTCGTAACACTAAGTCGTCAACTTTCAAAGGACGCTTGTGTACTTTTTTTATTGTAGGCTCTCATCATTCTCAGACGGTAAATCTCATGACGCAAGGCGGCATTGCCCATGCGCTCCGGGAGTGAGTCCAATGCCAGGCGCATTGCTTCCCAGTTTTCCTCTTCATCATATAGCATGACTCTGAGGGTCGGCTCGTAAAGTTCAATGGGCAAGACGGCTTCAGCACCGTAAACCATGAGAAATGGGGTTTCACCGGTTGCCCCCTTTACTGTTGTCCTGATGGCCCATAGGACATGAATTAACTCTTCTACCCATAAGCCACCGGCTCTTTCTATTTTCTTCTTAATGCCGTCTGAGATGAGTTTGTTGAAGGCTTCAACTTGGCCGTTTGCTTGGGGCCGGCTAACAGATGCAAAATAGCTTGAGATCCCCTGATCTCCCAACCAAGTTTTTAGCTGAGGCGTCTCAAACTGAGGACCATTATCAAACACGATAGACATAGGTACCCCATACCGGGTGATAATGTTCTTCCAAATGAAGGAAATTATGTCTGAGGTCTTGATGTTTTTAACCGCCTTAGCCTCCACCCACTTGGTGAAATAATCCACAGCTACCAAGATGTAGCGCTTTTCGCCTAGAGCAGGCGTGTAAAGACCCAGAATGTCCATGCCCTATTTTGCAAACGGGATTGGGCTGTGGATGGCCGTCTGGTCAGTAGCCGGACGGTGAATGAGTTTGCCGAATTTTTGGCACTTGTCACATTTCTTTACCAACTCCTTGGTGTCTGCCTCAAGAGTGGGCCAAAAATAATGTCGTCTGGCTCTGACGGCTAAGGAGTTGCCGCCTATGTGGGAGGCGCAGAATCCCGAATGCAAGTCTTTGAGAACTTCTTTCCCCTTTTCTGGGGTGACACACTTCAACAAAGGCTTCAGAAACCCCGCCTTGAAGAGTTCTCCATTTTTCAACTGGAAGCTTGCAGCTCGCTTTTTCAGGACGGCTGCTTCCTGTGGAGAATCAAGAAGTGTGTCGTTTGAGAGATAATCCCGGATGCCATCTATCCAGATTCTCTATCCTTAGAGAACATTGCAGAATGAGTCTCGGATTTATTTCCTTTACTACTTTGATCATCGTCTGTTCTAACTCGATCAAAGTGGGGGCTAACTATAGACATCTACTTTTGGCCTCCTGTCCCGACAGGAAGTGCAAGGACGATAAATAAATCCATCTTCGTGTTGGATCAAAGTGAAGAATACTTATGGATAACTGGTTAAGCCACAAAACACAAAAGACTAGCCCAAATTAAGGATAAAAGCCAAAACACAGGTCCAATTAACTAAACCTGATCATAATTAGGCTTAAGCCCGTGCTTAAAACCTAATAATGACAGGTTTAGGAGCGCCTAGGTTAAATTTAAGTTGCGCGCGACACCTATCGCAACCTCCAGAGTTGCGCTGCGGAAGATTTAGAATTATACGGAAAATATAAAATCGAATCTTACCTTAAAGCCGCGCGCAAGACAATTAGTTAAGCTGCCCATAGCAGCGCAACCTAATCACTGCGCTGGGATTCCGCGCGCAACTCCTGCTGCGGAAGAATGCTCGTAACCCTAAACCTAAACATTCCTTTTAAATACGAGCTTAGACCGAGGCTTAAACAGACAGAAAATAACCTAAAACTCTGGCGAAATACTTGTGAACTTGTGCAACCTAGCCCCTCTTGTCCTAAACACTCACCCTTTTGATATTTTGTTACTACGGTGGAGGTTCCCCAACAAGAAGGAGTCCATAAGTGTTCTAAACGAAGATCTAGCAAAAAGAAGTGGTAAATTCCCGAGCACTTAGTTAAATCACCTTTATTTTCTTGTTTAAAAGTACCTTAATCAATTAATTAGTGTTGATCACCTTTATTTTCTTGTTTAAAAGTACCTTAATCAATTAATTAGTGTTGTTTGATCACTTTTAAAATAATTAATTAATCAATTCCACATAGTATCTTGCGTTAAATAAATATTAGAATTGAATTAAATAATTGTTGGTAGATCACTTAAGCCAAGGCGAATATTGTTTATTTTCTTGTCCTTTTCACAAATTTGATTAAATAAGAATAACGACATTACGATGTAATTCCTACGTGAATTAATATGTGTAAATAAAATCAACTAACATAGTTTTAGGTATCGTGTTGCATATATTGTTTGGTGATGCAATTGTAAAAAAGGAAGAGCTATTAGAGGTCGTACTAGGGCTAGGATAACGATTCCCCTCTAAAAGGAACGTTATTTAAGTACCCTCGCTTCCGAACTCATTTATGGTTTATAGACCAAGTAGGGCATGGGTAAACTTATGATTCGTGCTAATTATTCCATGAACTCCACATGGAAGAAAGGCATGAACGAGGTTTATGAGTTTTTCCTAAAACTCATTGGCAACTCCCTACTTGTTTCTTACAAAAAAGCGTAATGATAGAATCAATTCTAATTCAAGGTCCCCCAAACAGTCACGAATTCAAATCCTACTACACCCTAACAAGTGTAAAGTACTAGGCTTTTAAGTGGCCATGGGCATTTAAGGAGAGGACCCCTTACGATGGGAACCCCCTCCTTACACAATCCAAACACTTCACTCCTTTCTTTTTGCGTCTTTCTTTTTCATGATAAAGTCGGTACCCTCCACAAACAATGACGAAATTTTTTTGATAGTTTTCATTTTCGATGTCACACGAGCACAATCATAATACAATGCACACACTAGTCATGTATGTCGAGTCAAGTCGTATCAAGTCATCTCCGAGTCGAGTTTGCACCTTGAGTGGAGTCTAACACATGTGCTAGAACACATCGAGTCACAATGAGTCAAATGACACCAAGCCTTAGGTAGGTCAGCCCTAAGAAAAACATGAGAAAAGTCCTATAGTCTAAATATAGATGCAGGAACACTAAGTCCAAAGCTGAACGAGCGGAAAAAGCTTTGACTTGGATTCAAGCGCATTGCAAAATAAACAACGCAACACTACCCCAACGCAGCACTATACACCTTAGCACAACGCGATGCACCTTGACGCAGCGCAATAGACCTGTCGCTACACGATGTCATTGTCGTTGCGCGATGGCATTGCCGTTGCGCGATGGCTCTGATTCGCCCGCATCAGCCTTCGGTGGTCTTACAACTTTGATTGGTTGTCCCGCAACTTATCCATTTTAGCCTCTTGATGAGCATATGATATTTATTTGCTTGGTAATCGGCCCAATTACAACTTGATAGAAGATCGGCCTGATGACGATCATATCAAATGAACAGCTTTGAAATTACACCTTTGATTAGTAGTCAGCCTGATTACAACTTGATTGATCACTACTACAAAAATAGGCTAAGAGACCCGTTAAAACATGCCTTAGATACCTTTTAAAACTTGCCTTAGAGACCCGTTTAGGATGGGTCTCTATCTCAGGGGTCCCTTCGTTAAAGAGACCCCTTCATAAAAAATAAAAAAAAAAATAAAAAACAAACTCGTTAAAAGAGATAAGGGGTTTTTTTGGTGTGGTGTTTGATTGATGCATTTAAAAGGAAAGAGACTAGTTATTTGTAATAGGGGGTCTCTTTAAGGGGTGTCATAAACCCCATATGTCAAGTAATGGGTCTCTTTAATCCCTTTTATTTTATAAAAAATATTATTTTAATTTAAATTTTTATTTTTTTACGCTAAAATGAAACTGCTGATTCTTTTCTATCAAATTACCAAATTAAAATTTAATATCAATAATATTTCTTGTAAAATAGATCAATAATGCTATACAACATTACATAGTTACAGACCTAAATTTACATGTATAAAATTAAAAAATATAAAATTAAAACTTGTTGATTCAACAAGTTATATAAACTACAGTAAATAATTTCTAACCAAACTCATAGATCAATTCATATTCCATTCAAGCACACCAAAATCCTGTAGTCAACAAATTCGCAAATTGTGATTCTTTGGTTACAAATTACTCAAGATGAAAGCGAATAATTATGTCTTCCTTCCCATAATTGAAAATTTTCGTCCACCATCTCCGATCCATCCAATCCAATTCAATTACTGCAATAATCAAGAACAAACCACACTAGAAATGAAAATACCTGCCATAAGAACAAAGTGATACAAAAATTGAGAATGAGTTAAAATAGAAAATAATCGTTGATTAATATAGATTTTAAACACTCCACGATGATGAAATCCCCAAAATCAAAATCAGGAAAACTCAAACCCAAAGCAGTAAATCTAAAAAAAACATTAATTGTTATCTACCCCAATTGCAAGAACACCTTCGTTCCTTGGAAAAAAGCCATAAACAAAAAGCACATAAACCTCTATCCTAACCGACATAATAATTACATAGTTTAATTCCACGAAAAACAAAAGTTATGAAGTATATCATATACGGAGTATTATTTATGAAGTATACTCCGTAGTTCATCACACCCGCAATAATCGCACCTCCATTACAGTAGCCTCATCACTACTTATCGCCACCAAACGCTACTACTCACCACCCGCACCACAACTATCAACACCGACCACCCCAACGGCCACAAAGCCACCATTGCCGCCCAACATTAGGCCAAAAAACAGAGCAAATCAAGAAACCCATTGTCGAATTCAGTCCTTTTAACCCCAAAATTTCCTAATTGTACTTCGGATCTCCATTTTCCAATATTTGAGGCAAATTTCCTTTTCTATATTCTAATTTAGATAGTGTTTTTTTATATATTTTTCTGTAATAGATTTCGATTGAAAACTTTTTTTAATCAATAATTTTTGGGAAATTGATGATTGAAAGTCCACTTACCAAATCATGTTATTTGATGACAAATTTTTTGGAAAAATTAGAAACAATAATTCTAATTTTCATCAATTTTGATACAATAATCCCAACTTCATATTACTTTAGAATAATTTAAACTTTGGGGTCTTTTTTTTCTACAATCCCAAACCGTTCAAAAAAAGTCAACAACCTTTAATAAGAGGTCACCGTGACATGTGTCAGATTGTCATTGGTCCAAAAATAAATTAAATTAAAAAAAATATAAAATAAATTAAAAATCAGAAACCAAAAAAAAATAAAATAAAAAAATTGATAACGCACAATTTCATGGTTGAATTTTGCAATTTCACAATTAAAAAAGAAGAAGACCACAAACATCATGGTTTAATCCCAGCATACCATAGAGCGAGAAATTAATATACCGTAGAGTGCGAGTTCCATGAGCAATATAGTTGGAGTCTCTTCAACATTTTAAGAAAGCTTGAACAGAGAAAGGCCAGGAAATGGAAGGTTGTTGGCGAATTTGGAAGAGAAATTGAGGATTTTTATTTGGGGGTTAGGGTTTTGAGGAGAGAGAATGTCATAATATAAATATGTTGAAGATGTGAGGAATATAAAATTAATAAATTAAAAAAAAAAATAAGAGTAATAAGAAGTGGTAAAAAGACCAAGTGTGGAAATAAGGACTAAAGAAGATACCCATGAAATCTGATAACGAGTTTCATATCCCCCTCGCCTATTGTTCTTCCATTAAGTTTGTGGGCCCTAGTACACTTAAGAGACTCGTTGAAGGTATAACCAGGTCTTTTATATCTCATACTACCTCTGGTTCACTTTACTTGCAACTATTTTCTTTTTAGGCCGGTCCACTTTATTTACAACTTTCCCATTTCTTTCCTTTTTTAGTAACTTTTTAGTGGTAAAATTACTATTTTACCTTTACTTGTTTTTTAAAAACACCCTAATTACAAAACTGATTTTATCTAATTAGCTTAAACCCTAACATTAATTAAGTTATCTATTTTCACCAAAATCAACCCCTTAGCCACCAAAACCAATTCCAGCCACCTTCATCCTCTTTCATCTTCCTCCTCATCACCATTGTTCATCAAATTTCTACATCTTCTTCCTCATCCCCATTTTTTCTCTTTCTCCTCCTTCAACCATTCCTATTATTTTTCCAGATTTGTGGGTTTGTGTGTTCGTGGGTGTGTGGGTTCGTGGGTGTGTGGCTTCGTGGGTTTGGTGGTAGGTGGGTGGTTATTGTGGCTCGCCGGTGGATTTCTGTGTTGGTTGTTTCGGCGGTTGGGGGGATAGTATGTGTCGTTTCGGTGTTGGTTGTTTCGCGGTTGGTGGTTTCGGGGTTGGTTGTGTCGGCGGTGTTGGTTGGGGTTTCCAATCGGTGGGTTGGGGTTTCCAATCGGTGGGTTGGGGTTGGTGGGTTTCAAATCGGTGGGTTTCGGGGTTGGTGTTTCGGTGTTGGTGGTTTCGGTGTTGGTGGTTTCGGTGTCGGTGGTTCGGGGATCGTGGGGTTTCTGGGGCCGGTGGGTTGTTGGGGGTCAGTGATTTGGTGGTCGTGGCTGGTGGAATCAGTGGGCTGGTGGAATCGGTGGGTTAGGGGTCGTTGGGTTTGTGGGGTCAGTGGTTTGGTGGTTGTGGCTGGGTTGGCTGTGGCTGGGTTGGTGGTCGTGGCTAGGTTGGTGGTGGTGGGTTTCTTTTTTAAAATTGGGTTGAATTTTTTTTTTTTATTAATACTTAATTGTATACCCTTATCTTTCAATAAACATGTTTAGGAAATTTTGTCTCGGCCTCCGCAAACCTCCTCAGAGTTGCAACTAAAGTGGACCGGAGGTAGTATATTCTTACTTCCATCAAAGTGGTGGGCCCTGGGATATATAAGAGATCCGTTATTTTAAATGTTGGATCTCTAACATAAAATAGACCCCTTTCTTAAATAACGGGTCTTTTAAAAGGGGTAAGTGATAAGGGAATAAACACGTCGTTAAATGTCTATCCCTAAATCAAATACAATTTATAAAACCTAAACAAACCTTATACAAGTATAAAGCAAGCATAGGGGTCGAACCACAGGGAACGAGTGAACACTACCAAATGCTATCAACAATTAAGCTAGTCCGGAATAGGAGGTAAGTAAACTAAAGTCTAAAGATGCTAAAACAATAAATAAAATACTAAGGGAAATGGTTTAGGCATAGCATTCACTTGAACATAAACAAATGCATAGAAGATTTAATTAATCATGAACTAAACATGCATAAATATCGATATAAAGGGTCCAATCTAGCCACTTGTCGGGGTCAATTGGCTTCTCCTAACATAGCCTCTATGCTTCCACATTAGAACCATATACTAGGAGGTGCTATCAAATAATGATAGATATAAATGAACCTTGCTAGGTCCGCTATCGTATCTTCTAACAATAATTCACTCCCAATCAACTAACACCATGCATTTTGCAAGTAGATTGAAGAATATCAAGCATATAAAGACTTTAATCACAAATAAAACAATTCCAAACCCTAGAACATGCTTAAGATCCAACTACACCACAACCATCCCCTTAATGGGGAAAATTACTCACTAATCATGCTAACAACAAGATTAATTAACAAATAATCAAGAATAAAAATGATTAACAAGATATACTAACAACTAAAACAATAATCAAAAGAAAGCAAATAAAATAGAGGAGAGAGATTTAGAGATTCTAATTCATTGAAGATGAAAGTCTACAAACAAGATGTTTAATCTTCTTCTTCAAAATCCAAGCTAAACTGGTGAAACCCTCACTTTCTCTCTCTAAACTACTCTAATCCTAAGCTAACCCTAGAGAGAGAAGCTCTCCTAAAACTAATTAAGAAAAATAGAATAAGAGGTGATTTACTAATTAACCCAAAAATGGGTATTTATACAAAGCTAATAAAAAATTAAAATAAAAGAATAAAAGAAAAGGGAAAATAAATTAAAGAAAAGAAAGTAAAGTAAAGAAAAGAGAAAGGAAAAAGGAAATAAAAAGAGTTAAAAGGAAAAAGAATTAAGAATAAGAAAATGAAATAAAAAAATAAACCCAAAAAAATCCCCCAAACCGTCAGACCATCAATTTCCCTTCTTCTTCGATTTTTAGCTGCTCTAAAATGGGGGATGATCCCCTACTTTGCGCCTCACCAAATTAAACCCACAACCATCATCATTGAATCACCACCACTTATCATTATTGAAAATCGGTATCAAGCAAACACCATCATTTGATCTTCATTAACAACCACGTGAGAAGCTCGTTAAATGGTTCGGTCGAACCGTGGGTTGGTGTAGCCGAACTATGGGTGTGTTCGATCGAACCATTGGTGTGTTTGACCACACCTCTTCAAATTAGAAAACTTTGAATGATTCTGACTCTTTTGGCACTTTTACTTCGACCGAACTTCTTAATAGTTTGCCCAAACTCGATTGGTTTGCTCTTTGCTCTGATTTGGAATGCAATGGTGGCCGGAATATGCGTTGCTGCTACTGTAATTGATGTTGGGTGCTTGCGGTTGGTGGTGTTTTCTACAAGTTGTGGCGGTGAGGGAAGGTGCGGCAGCAATTGTTGTGTTGGGGTGTCGAACAGGTGTTGCGCGACTATTGGAGCTGTTGGGTTGGTGGAGATAGCAGCGCTAATAAGGTTGTGCGCAGCTGGGCAGTGCTGCTATAAGAGGCTGGTGGTTGCGGATTGGAGAAGGGTGAGCAGGAGAGAGGTAAGGTGGGTGAGGTTTGATGGAGATTGATGGTGGGTTGCTGCTATGTGCGGTTATGGTTGGGCAGTGTTGTTAGAAGGATAACAACTGGTGGCTGAAGGTGGTTGAGTTGAGAAAATTTGGTGTTGCAGGAATGGGTGAGTGTGAATTGGAGCAGGGGAGCAGTGAAGTAGAGGGAGCAGGAGGAATTAGCTGGTGTTGTTGTGGTGGAGGATAAGGGAAAGGTGGGGTGATGGATAATGGTGGCAGCACAAAATAACAACTTAAAGCTACAGTTTGGTCAAGAGTATGCTACACTTGAGCTTTGAACCTTGAACCTTAATCCGAATGCAAACCTACACACGCAAAGAAAACTGAGGAGAGGATCGGGACATAAATTAAAATAACTAAATTAGAAATAAATAATAAAAATAAGAGAAATAAAACTAAAACTAATAAAATCAACCAAATAAAGTAAAAGCACCAAAAATACAAAAATAAAAAGAAACTTTATTTAATAGGAAATAAGAGAATAAAAGGGAAAAATACGAGAAAACAAGCATGAAAAGGACTCTAAATCTACTCCCTAAGGGTGACATCAATGTCACTCATCAAATTCCCCCAAGCTAAACCTTTGCTCGTCCTCGAGCTAAGCTAGAGCAAAAGAGAACAAGATGAAATTATTAAAAGCAAAAGAAACAAAATAGAAACAAAGAGAAATAATGTACACTAACTCACTGCCATAGGAATCACGGATGCATTTAGCATATGCATCAAGCCCTTTAAACCCCCATGTCGCCAAAGAGGAAGAGTAATCTCTCGTGAGGGTTTCCTAAGAGGTTTAACCCACAACTCTTGGCAACACATAACATTCAAGGCAAAGATGATATCAAGAAAACTCAAGTTTTGATATTTCAAACCAAACACAAACAACGGGCTAATTGCACAAGAATGCAATCATTTCTAGGCATCAAAGGTAGCCAAGCAAAAGAACAGCCAAGTTTGGTACACACATAAAGCATGCAAAGGGTAGAGAACTTAGAGGGACTTACACTCCTTAACTCCAAACAAACTTTCGCATCCTCACTAGTTTTGCATCCACTTTTAAGGTGATATCTCGAAATTCCTCGAAGGAACTGGAAGAAATAAAAAATGAAAAACATTTAGGCTACCCGACATCTTGGCATCGATAGCTCGCTCAATAGGCTTGGCTTGATTACCCTCCACCGGTAGTAACTAAATCTCACTAAGGTCAAAAGGTCTTAAAAGGGTTAAAACGTTTAGGTTAGGATAAAGGGTGTAGAAATAAATTTGGAAATTGGTGGTAAACTTAGAAGTGAAGCAAGGTTGATCATCCCTCAATTCAAACTCAATAAACTACCAACTTTCAAATAAAAAATTCTAGCAATAGATCACAAAGTAACTCCTCCCCTAAGCTTATGCTTTCAACCAAACAACAAATATTTTTGTATTTTCACAATTTTTTCACTTTTTTTCATTTTTTTTTCATTTTTTTTTATTCTTTACTCTCGCCTCTTTTAACTTTGAGCGGCCTTTTCTTTCATTTCCTTTCTTTTCTTCTCATTTGCTCAAACCATTCAACATAACAAAGATAATCACAAGTACCAAAATTTGAGTTTCTCACTTCTTTTTCATTCTTTTTCTCACTTTCATTAACCAAACATACAAATCAATCCCAACAATGTTTCACAAAAACTGATAAAGGTGAAAATAAAGCAAAGGTCATTGGTTTGTAATGTGGTTATGCCAAAGAAGGGAAAATGGCTCAAATTGGGTTACTAAATGAGCCAATGCAAATGAAAAATAAAAGAATAGAAAGTAATAAAACAAAACAAAAAAATCCTAATTACCTTTGTCTTCCCCTAGGTTGGTTCGGTCTCGATCTCTGGTAGAATAAAGCAAAATTCTCGATATGAGCTAGCAATGCCAAGGATCAAAATGCCACACATGCAAGAAATGTAGAAGGCTAGAACAATAAATATACATCCTCACAAGAATGACGGTAGTGGAATAGCAAAAATCACCTTACAAGCTTCAACTAGCTAGAGAACGACAACCATCTTACCACAAACCAAGTGAGCTAAGGTCTCATAGCCCTTAAGTTCTACTACCTTGGCACTCGCTATATGTGTGAACCAACCTCGACATCCAAGTGCATGAAAACCCCTAACAACTAGGAAAGAGAGTATTCTAGGTGCTAAAGCCCAAATATGTCCAACTTCGAAACAAAACATTTTGAAACCTTGCCTTGAATGCCATAGAAAGACACTATACACACACATATTCACAAAACCAACAATACTCATGAATACATATACAATTGTGCAAGATGAAAACATGATCAATCAAAGCTACATATACCAAAAGTCAACTCAATAAGGCGCTCATGGCCATCCAAAATAGAAAACCAATCTCAATA